TTTTACTCAAACTAGCCGTTTGAGTATACCAGCTTCATCTGCACGTAAGAGGATACGCGAAGTTGCATGACACCATAAACAAAGGGTGCTTCGTTACACCTGGTAGCACTTTGTAGTCCGTCCGACGACTACTTAGTGTCCGTCCAACTGAACATGTTGGACGTAGAAGACAACAGCTTTCACGTCACACGTGAAGGCTACTCCTATCTGAGTGACTTAGAATGGGAAGTAGTCGGCCGCATGAGTGTGCTCATGGAGAACCCGCCATCAGTGGCATGTTGAAGTCTCTAAGCAGAGACCAGCAACATGCTGCTATCAACAAGTTCCTACAAGGGGAACTTGCCTTCGAAAGCCAGAAGATAGCCTTGCTACAACAGCAAGGCTCTCATCATTCGATGGGCGGGCCGACGCACATGCGTCAATCCGAAGCCTTAAAGATCGATATCTCAAGGTACAAAGGAACCGATGAAGATTCCTTTTTGAGATGGTTCGTCGAGTTAGACGATGCCATCAGAGCCCGTCACATCGAGGGTGACGAGATACAAGTCACCTCGGCCTTGTCAAATCTGAAAGGTTGAGCAAAGACTTGGCCTTAGGGCTCAAGTATCACGACACCAATGCGTTTGAGTCGCTAAAAGCTTGAAGTCTCGGCTCAAAGAGACGTTTGAGCCGCCGAGAGCCGAGTACAGAGCACGCTCTGCACTCTTGAGGCAAAAGCAAGGTAAGCGTGACGTGCAAGATTACGCATAACGCCTACGCTACCCTGCGAATAGCTACATGGAATAACCTGTTGATGAGCACACGCTCATTAATGTGTTCATCTAAGGCCTTGTAGATGTACCGGTAAAGACCTACATGTTCCGAGAGGACTTCCAAATGCTGAAAAAGGCGATAGCGTATGCTAAACAAGAAGACTTCAGCCTGATCCAGTCTCAGGCTAGCTCGTCAAACTATCGTCCAACGAGACGACAGGTATCAGGAGGTCCCGAACTAACGAAACTCTATTACATCGAGAGCAAGAACTCTCGCCCTCTGAGTCACAAGCGAAAGGCAAGACGTCATCGCTGTCAGAAGATTGGACACTACGCTCATGAGTGTAGTGTCCCGAGCACTGCAATACGTCCGAAAACAGGACGTGATGACCACCATTGGCCGAGGAAAGATCCGAGGCGTGGGTCCGACCATGTCGCTAAGCCGCGACAGCAAGTCGGACCGTCAAAAAAATCGAGGTCAGTAGGGGCGGAGCACCCTGCTGATCCGGCAACGTCAAGAGAGTTTGCAGGACTACTGACAAAGATTGCTCCCAACACACAGTCGCTGTGTGCTACTGCGCCTAGTGATGAGGTTTCCCTCATCACTTTTAAGATCGAAATGACAAGTGGAATGTCACTTCGCGCCCTAGTTGACTAAGGGGAGTCGAACATCTTTATTCGACGCCAGTCTCTAGAAGATAGCAGGCCCAACTATAGTGAGCGATAGTTCCCTCCAACGAGTATGACGGTGTGCCTTGCTGCAGGCGCATTCGTAATAGTGAACAAACGTGTAGTGGTAATCCACTTCACGCTATAAGGAAAGCACTGCGATGATGACTTCATCGTACTGGATTTGGATGACATGTTTGATGTCTTCTCGGTCTGCCATGGCTCAGAAAATACCAGCCATGGGTCAGCTGGCAGCATCGATCCGTGAAGATGCCTGCGGTTTGCTCATCAGATGGCCATCTGATGAACGTCTTGGAGCGTCCACAAGCGTGCGGATGTGCTTCAAGTGAGTGCGATGGCCTCACTTGTGGTACGGTCGTTAGCATTACCGCACAAGATCACAGTGTGGAAGGTCGCTACACTGTGGAACCAGCTTCCGGCACCTGTGTAGAGACATAGGCTGTGTCGAAGGTTCACCACTCGAAGAGATCGAGTGGACTGGAACACGGATGCACACCAAGAAGGGTGCATCCGAGAAAAGAGATTATTGTTGTTCAGGATGAACAACACGTTAAAGCTCGACTATCAGAGCGTCGATCGTAGAGCAAGCCCGATCGACTGAAAGAGAGTCGATTGAAGAGGACGTGACCGCGGTAGTACACCCACAGTCGGTACACGCATTGGAAGAAAGTTACAGCGTTCCTATGAGTGATAACTCCCGAGAGAGTTATGTTGAAGGTGTGGATCCCCAACCACCTGCGGATGTGTTTTCCTGGAAATCACCGAGACAGTGAATGTCTTGGTAAATGACGGATCAAGTGTAGGCGCCTATACACTTGATCTGGTGACGCACCCAAATTCAGCTTCGGAGGTAATCAAGTTGCAAGCGCTAGAATCTAAAAGATTCTTGCAAGATCTGCACAGTGTCAAGATCAAGCAGATCCGCGCACTCGTCACAGAGGACGAGAACGTCGCCGACATTCGGTCGACACAAGTGTTTAATGAGAAACAACAGGCCCTTTAGTTGCTCATCGATGGATGATAGTGTACTCGATGAAAAGACACGGATTGAGCGATAAATGTCTCAATCTTGGTAGATTTTGAAAACAATTCCTTCATATAAGTATTTGGTTAAATTCAAGGATGTATTCCCTGAAACTGTTCCTTGAGAGCTGCGTAAGGATAAAGGCACTAGGCATGAGATCGAACTGGAAACCCGGTTCGAAATACTGTGTCATGAAGCAGTGACCACTGCCTCGTGAACAAGTACTTGCGATTGACAAGATCTTTGCCGATCGTTCAGCAGCGGGCCATGTGAGTGAATCAACATCCCCACACAGCTCTCCGACCTTCTGTGTGCGAAAAGCCACAGGAGGGTGGCGGATAGTGTACGCGTTTAACAAATTGAACGCTGAAACGGTACCGGCTCAAACACTGATAACGAGGAATGACGTCATCATAGATGGTTTGGCAAAAAGTACCATCTTTTCGTCCATGGATCTAATGAAAGGATTTTATCAGATCCTCACGCGTGAACGGGATATACCGTATACGCTAGTGAGCACCCAGTGGTATGCTCTGGGAGTGGCTAGTGATGTCACAGGGGCTAAGTAACGCCCCTGCGATGTTCAACAGATGTGTTACGAATCTGTTGCGATCGGTGCGTGATTTCGCACCGAGTTACTTCGACGATGCCTTCGTCCATAGCCGGGCTATGGATGGAAAGACGGACGTGGAGGTTCATAGAATTTACGTCCGGAAGGTTCTTACATTAATGCGAGAGCGTAAGTTGTTCGCGAACCTCAAGAGTAATATATGCAGCGTACGAAACACCACTTCTTGGCTGCATCGTGAGTAAAAACGGCTCAAGCCCTGATCCAGAACAGATCAAGGCGACTAGAGACTGGCCTATGCCAGTCGGTGTCAAGGGAGTTTGAAAGTTCCTTGGCTAGCGGCGTACTTGCACAAGTGCTCGCGCAGCTACGCCGGGGTGACCCTACATATCTCTCGTCTTTTAAAGAAAAACGAGAGGTGGTCATGGAGCGCTGAGTGTCAGCACTCCTTTGAAGGTATCAAGAAAAGCTTGATAGAATTGCCTGTGTTGGCGATTGCAGACTAGGACAGAACATTTCATGTGGTCTGTGACGCCAGCGATTTTACAATCGGCTGCGCGTTGATGCAGCACGACTCAGATGGCGTTGAGCGCGTCGTCAGTTATCTATCTCGTCAGCTGCAAGCAGCTGAGCGTAATTACCCGGTGCATGACAAGGAACTCCTTGACATGAAATATGCACTGGCTAAGTTTCGGTTAGATCTCTTAGGAGATAGGCCCTTCATCGTTTATACCGACCATGCGTCGTTACGCACGGCTGTGAACAGTCCACACCTCTCGCAACGAATGGCGAGGTGGCTGTATTTCTTCGCGAGTACAACTTCTCCGTCGAGTTTTAACGGGGAAGACTTAACATCGTCGCTGATGCTCTTTCGCTTCGGCCCATTTGAAGCCGACTGCTCAACACAACAGTAGGGGTGATCCCACTGTTGCAACAGTAATAGTGAGTGTTCCATCGTCGAATCTGCTCGCCGACGTGCGAAAAGCATACGCAGAAGATGAGTCTCTTTTGCGATTGATGGATTATGTATCCAATCCATGCAGTCAAGCTTCGAAAAGCTTTACGTCTCGATACCGCTCTTCAACCGAACGGCATTCGGTTCGTGATAGACTGCTGTTCTACACAGCAGTCAACGGCGACACACCTTGTGTCGTCGTTCCCGCTCATAATGATTTGCGATCTCGCATCATGTATGAGTGTCACAATGCCCCAACAAGTGTACATCGCGGAAGAGAAAAGACTTACCTCGCGGTAGGTCGTGACTTCTACTGGCCCCCGCCAGTATGAGTTTGTGCGCAAATACATTCGCGCTTAAGAAGTTTGCTAACGTGTGAAGCCTAGTCCTTTATCCCGCGCACCCTTGTAGCCTCTACCGATACCGGCAGAATGTTGGCAGTCCGTATCGATGGACTTCGTCTTCGGGTTTCCCAAAGACGTTCGCAAAAATACTGGTATTCTTGTGTTTGTTGATCGTTTCAGTAAGATGGTATATCTTGTTGCTGTACTGTAGTCAATCACAGCCCAGGGCTGTGCTCATGTCTTCATCGATACTATCTTCCGAGTTTACAAATTACCCCGTTAACTCGTGTGTGAAAGGAACTTTGCTTCACATCAGGGGTTCTGGAAATCCGTGTTCTGTTCACTTGGAACACGCTTGAAGATGTCAACTTCTGACCATCAGAAACAGAAGGTCAGACGGAACGCGTCAACCACATCCTCGAAGAGATACTTCGAGGGCATGTCCACTCGTTTACGAGTTGGAGTGGGTTCTTGCCGATGGCGGAATTTGCCATCAACAACTCGGTGCATGCGTCGACGACGCACACACCGTTATCGTGAATGGTCTACGCCATCCACGTTTACCGCCTTCATCGAGTGTTAATCTAGTTTAAGGTGGAGGTGAACTCGCTCGAACAAAAACCGATCTAGTTCTTGCTCATCACCCACCGACAATGGTGTCGACGTGATGGAGGCCGATGTCGATGCAATTGATATCGATGATGATGACGAAGATGCTGGCATATTCAGCATCGCCAATGACTGCCAAAGTGAGGACGATTACACCCTCACTGGTGAAGACAACGTTCTTTCAGCAGTGCACACGAAGCGCACTGCTGGTGACAATGATGAATCAGCAGAGGAATTTCTGCTGACTCGCCAAGCATTTGTCCGCTTCGTTCAATAATCTATTGCGGATGCACTAGACAGACAGAAAAGAAATGCAGACAAACACGGAAGAGCAAATGTTCTTTCATTTGATGAAGGAAAATTACTTTTACTGTGTACAGTAAACTTACCGAAACACGCAGTGACAAACGTGGGCAGCTGTAGATTACTGCCCAAGCATATTGGTTCATTTCGTGTGTTGCGCCGAATGGGCAACGCATACAAGATTTGACTGCCCGTAAAATGCGTACGCATCCTACGTTTAACGTCGGTCGTCTTCACCCGTACTATCAGTACGAGCCCGTTTTGAGATGCACAGAACACCTCCGCGGTCGAGAGCCGAGACCACCTTCGAGTGGTCACGTTTCAACAAGCCAGTCTGGTCGAGAAGCGAAGCGATATGCTCACGCATTTGGGCGATGTCCTGACGAGCTGCAGTCAGCTCGTCACGAAGAGATCGAATCGAACGTTCATTCTCAAGTTGTGTGAAAGTAAATGCGGCACGATCGTTCGAACGAATGTGCGCTAAGTAATTGTAATTTTCCTTCACAATGTCATGAAGCTCATAACGCCGAGTCCGTTCGTGAGCCAAGTCGTCGCAATGCTGATAAGTTACACGATTTAGTTCCTGGACATCAAGATGATCTGACTCCCGAGCCAAATCAGGTGTTCTCACCGTGACCACATTATTTGGTGGACTCAAGCGGTGATCAAGCCTTTCTTTTTAAGAGTATTTTTGAACCACCGCGACGTGAATGGCGTCCGGACGAGTCATTTCGTCCGCTGGCGTGGCCATACACCGGCTTAGGACAGCTGGGATCCTCGTGCTCAGCCTATTGTTAATTTTCTGGGTCCAGTCTAGAAATTTGACGAGACCCACCCGCTGCGTTCGAAGAAGGGTAGTCGGAAAACGAACTCCCCGAACGCGAGTACAGAGTTTTCAAGGTGTCAATCCCTTGGCCATCTCAGAAGAAATGCGCGCCCTCTGGTAGAGAACATTAGGGAGGTAGGCCTCTCTAGGGGCACGATTCGAGTTGTCCAGGCAACTTGGACACGAATCACCCCACTAGAGACAGGGTAATCCTGCCTCTCTTAGCAGTCGGTGCAAATTGTATCGTACCCCGACTGGGTTACGCTTCTCACACCTGATGTAAGCTGCATAAAGTTTGGCGAGCCAGGCCTCACGGCCAATGCACTCGATTTTATGGAAGAAGGCATTACATCCTTGCACCAAGGCCTTTCCGTCTTGGGCACGGCTGCCATTGTACAACCGATGTTTGAAAAACACATCGGTTAAGAACCCTTTCTCAGCACGGACAGTTTCCGTCCTGGAATTTGGAGGAAAGATTCTCCTACAGTTGAACAACGGGATGCGATCCCGTTCGGTAGTCACGCCGGCCAACCGGTCCAACTCTCTGGATGAAGGCATCCACGGAGACTCCACTTGATAAGCGTGGCGCAGGACATTTCGGATCTTGGTCTTTTGAGTGGTGTCAGCAGGAGCACTGACACCAGTGGCAGCTCGATCTTTCGAGTTGCTTCTCTCGTGATGATGCATAGGCTCATCACCGCGCGTCCTATCGTCGGATGGACTTGCGTTAGGCGAGATTTTTTCAGGCGAATCGCTCGGTCCGAAGATCTCGGACATAATGCCGCCGCGCTCCCCAGAGCCAGTCAATCTGGCTCGTGCAGTGTCCGCCTCGGATGATCCGGCGGCGTGAGGTGTCGCCTTCGAGTTGGATGCGTCATCCGACTCGCCAGAATAGATGAGCTCTGTTAAAGACTCACCTACATTGCGAGTTGCAGCATTCGCTGCAGACGTGGTGACTCACTACATAGACTGTTCATAGCAGGCACCGCCGTGGTGACTCATTACATGGACTGTTCATAACAGGCACCGCCTGTTGCTAAATCGCAGCAGCAGGCGAAGGATCACCTGCTGCTGAATTAAGAGAAGAAAGCCCTTCGGCTGCACGCATGTGTGCAACCGCTTTTCATGCTGCTTCGGCAGCACATCGCACGGACTTTGACACCATGCGATAGATTGGCTAATGAGTTGGAATATAACCAACAAGTGCTCCTCTTCCCAGAGTGATCAAACTGTGATCGCCCTGTCCCAATTAGTAGAATTCAATCAACGGGTGGTTGATGGTTAAGGGGGGGGTGATGTAACGGCGTAGGCCGTTACATAATATTGACTCCAAACGGTGTCTATAGGGAGGTTGTCTAGCATGACAATTCTTTACCAATTTAATCCGAGGTGGATAAAATTGAAGGGATATTATCCCCTTCTAGAATAATATTCTTGCGCTGCTCAAAGATTGATTGATAAAAGACATATCAACCATAGATTACCACCAATCGCTGCTAGACGCGCGCAATGAGTGGTGAGCAGGTTGTTGTTGTTGTTGTAAATGATACGCCTCGGCGTGACGTTTTATAAAAGTGTTCTGTAGCTCAGCCGGTTTGGTAAGGAAGTACCATTAAAATGGTCACTGGTTCGATACCGGTGGGGCGTGCAAACAAAAAAGTTAAGCCTTCGGGATCTGGTGTTTGGGGTTCACCAGCACTGTCCTGCCAGACAATGACGTCCCCCACTTTCGGTACATTTGGGTGTTTAGAAACGCATGACCAGAATTAGAAACGTACGACTAGACGATTAGTAACGTGCGATGTGGTGATTACTTATGTGCGACCAGACAATTAGTAATGCGCGATATAGCGATTAGGAAGGTATAGTCGAAGAATCAAGTAGGCTTAGAGTAGCAACTGAGTTTGTGAACTAAGGACCTAAATGTATTTACTTTGCATTTTACCAGCTTTGATCAACGACTTTAGTTGTCACACGACGACGTAGTTTATTATAGTTAGAAAAAGACTGAAGTCACTTTGATAGCTTAACTATGTTACATACAGTTCTCTTTTTACCTTTTACTCAAACTAACTGTTTGCGTAGAAAGCTTCCTCTGCACTAACTAGTGTACGTGAAGTTGCGTGACACCCCAAACAAAGGGTGCCCAGTTACAGCTTGGGAACGTATCAATATCGGGCAAAAATTTAACAACACGGATTATACGGGTCACGTGTTTCTAACGCGACTCAGCCTTATAAAAAATGCTAACGAGTTAAGTCAAGTAAAACGCTTGGGTTGTATCTAAAAAACACAGTGATGCTGGCCTCTTCTTGACAGTCTATTCGACACATTCGATCAGCGTGTAACTAATTGCGCTAAGCGATTAATCAGCAATTACGTTGTTTCCACATAAATACCGCACGACCTAGCATGAACCATGTCTATCACACAGCGCCAATCTTCGTCACTATCAGACCTTGTTGCGTTTGCAGTCATATGGCTGTAATTGCAGCGTTAGCATTAACATACATTGTACGCTCTGGTGACCAATCACACCTACGGATCGCACCTAAATTTACCGCTGCCATAGCATTAATGATGTGCACACAAGAGACCTGCGAAACCGAAACATAAAACATCTTCCGCTCGTTAGCACTAGTACATTTGCATGATATAAACTTTCTGTTCCAGGACACACCTTACGTGCGTTTGAACTGTCCGTTACCCGCAATTTACTCACGACTTGTTGCTTCTTGTCTTTTACCATGTGTGATGCGTACAGCCCTGACCATGCTACAGCGTTGTTTTAATTAGTCAGCTATTGGCAACTTTTTAATCAAAGCCAAAGAGCGCATGTAAAATATGCGTACTAAGTACGAACTTTTTAAAGTCCATCGTGGTTGGTTGTCGTCCTTATCGATGAGCTTGTGGTTGTTCACCAGTCTATTCAAAACATTAAGTCAGACTTGACCTGTATAAGCTTCTTAAATTGAGCATACATTTGTAAGGATCAGCACTTCGTAGATCAATGTGTGTGAGCATGAGATGCGAATGCCATCGGACAATTGAAGAGAATTGTGATTTCGATGGGTTGTCAGCCATTTTACAATGTGGTGTAGTTTAGTATAGCCACACACAATATTGAGAGGAAGCAGTACTACAATTGGGAAAGGAACTAGATCTGGGAAATTGGTAATCTGGAGGTACTAGCACTGGGGAAACTCATTCTTTCATTGTAGAAAACCTAAAACCCGATTGTCTCGCCAAAAATAATCGGGTCTTTTTAGTCCTGATACGCAGACAGGCAGGAAGTCGGTTTTAAAAGTTTGGCAGTTACTTTGCGCAGTCACGATAGCTTGGACAGGTTCCAACGTAGCACTAAGAGTTGCACCAACGGGTCACTGTGTGACTGGCTTTTTCGAGATGACTAGATGTTTCCAAAGCAGCGCTTTCATCTAAGTTTTCTAAAAGCAGGCATACATATTCCATGGTTGATGTGCGTGATGGTCAAATTGAACTGGGTCGAGCGCCACAATTGTCAAAGGTGCAATAGTGGGTACTGTGGTAGAAATAGCAAACACGCGTGATGAATCAAGCAATCCCCTAGCGCGTATCCTTCGGTTCGAGCTTTTTGTCAGGCAAATGTGTTCACATGAATATCCGAAGAGCTTACAGTGTCTTCTGAGACGATCTTTCGGTGGTGCCCAACAATCGATTCGGACAGTCCGATGATCCTCAAAGTTCGGCGAACGTTCGATTTGCCCTATCTCAGGGACAAGACTTGCGACAAATTGTTGCTCAATCACATCCGCATAAGTTGCTGTGACCAACGTAGCGAGGACTTCTCTTGTGCCACCACGTTTAAGCGTTGATTGGCTTGAAGCCTTCACATGCCGTGTCGCTATTCCGAATCTGTTCACAAAAGTCGTTCGCATTTCGAATTCTCCAACGGTTTGACGATGCACTTAAGTCCGCGTGAAGAAGACCATTTGATCCTGCACGCAGCTGGGTTTTTGGCTCAAAAGCGTCTGGCACGGGGTATCCGCCTCAACTATACCGAAGCCGTTGCTTTGCTGGCGATACAAGTTCTCGAGTTTATTCGAGATGGCAAGACAGTAGCAGAACTCATGACCCTCGGCGCTCAGATCCTCGGCAGGTACTTTCACTATGGCTAGTTTGCCACGGATATGCAAAAACTTATCGTACCTCTACAACTTCTTTCTGTGCTCTAGACGCCAAGTGATGGACGGTGTGGCTTCCATTCTAGATGAGGTGCAAGTGGAAGGAACGTTCCCAGACGGCACCAAGCTCGTGACAATCCACAACCCGATTGCCAAATTGGATGGAGACCTGGCACTCGCCCTCTACGGGTCATTCCTACCTGTGCCGGAGCTGAAAGTATTTGGTGCAGCTGCTTCCAAGCCGACGGTGGCTCCGGGAGCTATCATTACCCAGGACGCAGATATTGTGCTGAATGCGGGACGACAGGTGCGTGTGCTACAGATTACCAACTTGTCGGATCGACCCATCCAGGTTGGAAGTCACTACCATCTCATCGAGGCCAACCCGTTCTTGGAGATGGATCGGAAACGCGCTTACGGTCACCGCTTGAACATTGCATCGGGCACTGCTGTGCGATTCGAGCCGGGAGACCAGAAGACGGTTGCAGTTGTCCCGATTGCTGGGAACAAAGTGATTACAGGGGGTAACAACCTTGCCACCGGAGTAGTGGATGAGTCCAGAGTGAACACGATTGTTGCGAACGCACTTGCTAAAGGTTTCCACCACAAGACACTAGATCTCAGCAAGCTGCCAGCGAGTGCGGTTGAACCTGAATACGGAATCTGTAGGATACCCAAGAATGTGTACGCGCATACATACGGTCCTACGACAGGCGACATGGTCCGTCTTGGTGATACGGAGCTGTACATAGTGGTAGAGAAGGATATGACCGTTTACGGAGATGAGTGCAAGTTTGGAGGGGGCAAGGTGCTTCGCGAAGGCATGGGCCAGGCGTCTGGAAAGACATCCGATCAAGTGGTGGACACGATCATCACCAATGCTTTGGTTGTGGACTACACGGGTATTTTCAAGGCTGACGTCGGTATCAAGAATGACCTGGTTGTGAGCATTGGCAAGGGAGGAAATCCAGATGTGATGGCCGGTGTGACGCCGGACCTTATCGTGGGCGTGAACACGGAAGTGATCGCAGGAGAAGGTTTGATTCTTACTGCTGGAGGCTTCGACGCCCACGTGCATTTCATCTGCCCTCAGCTTTGCACCGAAGCACTTGCAAGTGGATTAACCACGCTGGTTGGTGGAGGAACTGGTCCTGCCACTGGTACAAAGGCTACCACATGTACTCCAGGACCGAACCATGTAAAGCTGATGCTTCAGGCGACAGACGTCATACCGATGAACATTGGTCTGACATGCAAGGGTAACACTGCACTCCCGCAAGGTCTTCAGGATGCAATAGATGCTGGTGCAGTTGGTATGAAGCTTCACGAAGATTGGGGAACCACCCCTGCTGCCATTGACAATTGTCTCCGTGCTGCAGAGGAAAACGACGTTCAAGTAACAATCCACACCGACACGCTGAACGAGTCTTGTTGTGTAGAGCATACTATTGCAGCGTTCAAGGGCCGAACGATTCATACGTATCACAGTGAAGGCGCTGGTGGAGGCCATGCTCCCGATATCATCACAGTGTGTGGTGAACCCAACGTCCTTCCGTCGTCGACAAACCCAACTCGTCCGTACACTCGTAACACCATCGATGAGCACGTGGACATGCTGATGGTATGTCATCACTTGAACAAGAACATTGCAGAAGATGTGGCTTTTGCAGAGTCGCGTATCCGCGGTGAGACGATTGCTGCTGAGGACTTGCTGCATGACATGGGAGCAATTAGTATCATCTCGTCGGACTCGCAAGCAATGGGGCGTATTGGGGAGCTGATCACTCGCACGTGGCAAACAGCTGATAAGATGAAGAGGGAACGTGGTACTCTTCCTGAAGATGCAGCGTCCGAACACAAGGGTGATAACTTTCGTGTCCGGCGGTACATAGCCAAGTACACGATTAACCCCGCTATCGCTCATGGCATGTCACACCTTATTGGGTCGGTGGAAGTGAACAAACTTGCTGATTTGTGCTTGTGGAAACCGTGTTTCTTCGGTAGCAAGCCTGAACTTGTGATCAAAGGTGGGGCGATCGCATTCGCTCAGATGGGGGACCCGAATGCTTCGATTCCGACACCCCAACCCGTGAAAATGCGGCCAATTTTCGGTACCCTTGGTGCTGCTGTTGGCTCGAGCTCGATCGCTTTTGTCAGCAAGAGCTGTGCCGACAAGAAGATTGCGCAGTCGTATGGCTTAAAGAAGCGCATTGAACCTGTTCGTGGCTGTCGGAGTGTTACGAAGAAGGATCTGAAGTTGAACGATGCAACGCCCAAGATCGAGGTCGATCCGGAGACGTACAAAGTGCACGCGGATGGGAAGTTGCTGACTTGCGAACCAGCGTCGCTGCTACCACTAGCGCAGCGCTTTTTCCTCTTCTAGTCAAGAGACACACGGGGTTTGCTAGTTTAAGTCATACGCTGGCCATTTCATGCGCTTGCCATTCCTCAATATCCACGTACTCCAAGTACCGATCTAATCGTCTGAGCGCTAGCTGTCTGGTGTCAGTAAACACTCTCGCTGCACTACTGAGCTCGTATAACAGCCCGTGAGCGTCGTCATATCCCCGGAACTTGTTCCGAATGAGCCCACAGTGCGAAAGTGCGGGTTGGCTTCACAGGCGGTGTACACAACCGCAGGTTGATGGAGTGCCTGCGACCTCTTTCCTGCCTCGCACACAGGAAGATGTGTCTGCGGAAAGATGGACCCCTTACATACGAGCGAGAGGTCGCATTCAGGCCGTCATGTATCTTGGTCTACTGTTTATCGACAAAGGCACACGCCGGATCCTATCGCGATGTCACGCGTACTACCTCGATGAGGATACAAAGCCCACTCTGAGGTATGTAATGGAGACGCTGCAGTGCATCGAGTGTAAGGAGATTCGAACCCGCGAGTTCAGAGCTGCTATGATTGCTTCACTTTGTAGGCATGTGCTGCTGCTCGACTGGCCAGCATAGCGTTCCTCAACAAAAGGTTGAGCGATGTCCAATGCAGTCAGTCGGCAAGAGAGATGTCCGAAAGTTTGCCGCATCGGCGTCGTCGTGACAGGTCCTAGGTATGTACCAGCGAGCACTGTCCTCTAAGACTGCGTAAAGTCGGCGCCTACAGGGGTGTCTACATCCACGTAAGCCACGTTCGGTCGGGTGACGCCCCAGCAGGCACTTTGTTTTCCGTTGGCAGCATGTAGCACCGACCGAGTATTGGTGAGGGTTCACACGTGCATAGAGAAATCCACGAGCGCAACATCGTAAGGCAGAAGGTGAAGCAACATCTAGAGACATGAATGCCGAAGTGTCAAGTCGTGTCTCTACGATCACCGATGAGGGCGGTGCTTTCGTGTGAGCGTACGTGTTGATCTGAGCCGTGGCGGGTCAGCTGGACGAACTCAGCGCCTGCGTAGACAGATTTGCTCATGGCAGAGCTGGCTGATTGTAACCCCCTCCTCCTCCTCTGCTTGGACGCTGACACATGCAACTCCCGTGGTGCATCCCTTTAACAAGTGCACACGGACGACCGACTGGACGTGCCACCAATATCGCTTCACTTCGTCACGATATCTGCACTTAAACCAGCCCCTCTACTTCCCGCATGGACCGATGTGATGGCAACTTTGCCGAAGATTTCGCAGTCGCATTTCCACCCCTGCACGCAAGCGTTTTGCCCCACCGCTGCCTGCACTACATTCGTTATCTTCAAAGGAGCCCGTTCCCTTGACGACGGCTCTCGATCGAGCTATGTGCGCAGTATCCAACCGACCGACCGATCGATCGAGTTCTTGCGTGACCTTTGGCGCGTTCATGGTCTTTCTCTCGTCGTGACGACCGCATCTAATGGACAAGTCCAGTGGACTTGACCGGCGTGCTACTGCGTGTCCCTTACCATTCGGTGAAGAAATCTCAAACTTTGAGCACTCACGCCGCTTCGCATGTAACTGCAGCGATTCGAGCCACGGTGGAGGACAAATTCATGGCGGGACGAGTCGATCATTCCACTTTGTTGAGCTCCTGCGCAAGTCCTCATTAAGCCAGCGCGGTGTCTTTTTTACTGTCTCCCCCGGTGCCGTCTTGACAGATTTCGACCGACTAACATCACGCGGCAGGCAACATCTCCGTCACATATTGCCAACCGCTTCGTTCGGTACAACCCGTCGCCAGTCATGACCTCATGCCAGTACGGTGCACTTCGTCTCGTCGCTGGTTTTATTGCGGTTGCCGCCATTCACGCTGGAGCACAGGACAGCTCAATTCCAGGAGATGTGCCCGCACTTCGGACTGGAGAGGAGATTGCTTACTCAACTGGTAGCGCAAACTACACCACCCGTATCAACGAAGGAGCTGGCGAGACTGCTGCGTACATTGCCCGAGGATATGCGTCAACGATGGACGAGAACGAGCAACGTCTGACCGTCATCGACGACTCCCTTCTTATGGAGAGCGTCTGCAATGGCGACCCGGTGGTGTTTCTCAAGTCCACGATGGTCCCTGCAAATGGAGCGTGCTTGCTCGCTCAAAGCCGGTATAATCTCTCGTGTTCGTGTCTGTCGGGCTTTGCCAACCAAACTGAATGGACTTTTCGCATCCGTGCCCCGGACTCGGACCCGGTGTCACCGTTCCCCACGACACTGAACATGAGCAGTATCGTTACAGTCAACTCGTTGATGTTACTCGACGTTCCTGCCGAGTTAGTGTCCATGTAAGTCGAATGAAGTCCTGCATGATCTCTGGTGCCGGAACTGCCGACTCACGTGATGTCTCTTGTGTGGCGAATGCTCAGTGCAATAGAGGGAGCAAGTACCAGTCTAGTTCCCGTGCACCTTGCAAAAGCGACGACCGCAGACAGCACTTTGTCGCTCGTTCGCTCGCAGGAGGTGTCCGCTCTGACGAAAGTGTACGTTCAGGTCAACCATTCTCAAGTCATCGTGTAGATCATGAGCTAACTTCTGCTGCAACAGTGACATTCAGAACCTGGACTTATCCGATGTGGCTATCGGGGTTGGCTTCGTGCCTACAACGCTGACAAATTTGTACGTAGCAAGCAGAAACGTTACTCGCACGACCTCTCGTTCTGATTCCCTTCATTGTTTGCACTTACCCGCAGATCAATGCGCCACTGCAATCTCACCAGTCTCAGTCATCTATTTCTGGAGAGCTTCGCTGCCCTCGAGTCATTGTACGACTGCTTCATCCGATGAAAATTGTGTGCTGTAGCTTTGCTGACGCTTGTTGGTGTCTCGGGTTTGGATTTACAGGAATCTAGCGGCCAACAAACTATTTAGTATTTATACCCGACTGCCAGGATCTGTCGAGGCACTACATGCCATGACCGAAATGTGAGTACACTTCTTTTCACGAGCTGCTTCGCCCTTGTGCTAATCGATTCTTGGCTGTCGAATTGAGCAGGAACCTAGCAAACAACAGCTTCACCGAATTTCCTGTCCACCTGCTTCGGTTCCCGAATCTAAGAAAACTGTACGTACTCAGTTGAGCGCTCCTCATGCACATGACCGGTTGGCTCACTTCTCCATTGCATTTACCAGTGATCTAAGTGGCAACGCCATCACAAACCTGACAGTCACGAGCGATGAGCTTGCAGTGATTGCACACCTTTCAGTGTTTCACATCGATAATCAAGTGAAGTCTGGTAGCAGCGAAAGCACATGTGAACGCGGTCTTTGGCAAGAAACGCACAACGCACGATTTTGCGTTGTGAATAATACAAGCAACCTTCCAGTCACGGAGATTGCCGTAGCGCAAGGCAGCGAAGACAAAAGCATGAACTGGAAAATCTTCATGGTGATCGCGGCATTCGGCGGGTGTCTTGTGGGTCTCCTGCTCTTTTTTCTAGCCACGACGTTTTCCCGATGCCAAAGAAAGCGTCATACCAAACTCGTTTCAGCTTCACCTGGTGCTGACGACGTTCAAACGCCACACATGATGGAGGCCAGTGCATCCCAGGCGGTTTATAACTCGCTGCATCCAACATTACATGCAGGTATCCTGAACGATCCACTGATCATGTCTTTTCGACTCAATTACACGGAAGTGAAGGTTGGTCGTTGCATCAGCAAAGGAGGCTTTGGGCTCGTGTACATCGGTATGTACAAACAACGTCGCGTGGCTGTCAAGAAGATCATGCGCGAGAAGTGCGAGAAGCTTTCTCAAATTCGCATGTTCATTCGCGAAATCGCGCTCATGGGGTCCTTGAAGCACGAGCGCATTGTAGAATTTATCGGTGTCGCGTGGGACTCGCTGCGCAACTTGAGCGCGGTCACGGAGTACATGGAGCGTGGAGATTTGCGAGATGTACTTCACAGTTTGAAGCGCCACGGAAGCAATGCTGACGACGGACTGACTTGGGGCGGTCTCAAGCTAACCATTGCACTCCACATCGCCGAGGGTCTTGCATATATGCACTCGCTGAGTCCGAAGGTGATTCATCGCGACCTCAAGTCCAAGAATGTGCTGCTTAATGATGCGTACGAGGCTAAGCTCAGCGATTTTGGTGTCTCACGTGAGCGGCAAGTCGTAGGCGCCAAAGGTGGTCTTGGCAAGTTCATGACTCCAGGCGTTGGCACGTCGTTCTGGATTGCGCCGGAGGTATTGCTTGGCAAAGACTACGACGAGCACGCGGACATTTTCTCCTTTGGTGTAGTACTCTCGGAACTCGACACGGACGACTACCCGTACTGGAATTCCGGCACCATTCCAGGGCAGGGGATCCCCGATGAACGGCGTGTGCAGGAACAGAAGATTTTGGAAAAAGTAGCGTTGGGCTCGTTGCGTCCGACGTTTTACAACGACTGTCCTGCTGGCGTCCTCTCGTTAGCCGCCAGTTGCCTTGAAGGGAGACCTGAAAATCGACCCAGCGCCTCCGAAGTTGTACTGACGATCAAAGAGCTCATTCGCGTCATGCTCTTTGACGGTCCTCAGTCGGAGCCTGAACCGGATGAAATTGTCACGGCCGGATTCCTCTCGGACGAACATGAATAAAGCACTGTTCATTCCTGGGCGAAGACGACCATGACCCTGCATCAGAATTATTTTAAAATGTCTAAGTGCTCCGTTGTAACATATTTTCCCCATCATTTTCAACGTCTTCAAGTGTCGAGTGGTTCAACACGTAACGTGCTGCTGTAATTAGCACAACTCTATTTACTTACGCGGCAGTTTTCTGCTTCTTCAGTGCAGCCTCACTGATCTCCTCTGGCGTGGTCGTCAAATTGACCGTTCCACTCTTTTTTGGTTCGCCAACAGCTGCCACTGGTTTCATTTTATAGCTTGGCACTGGACAAGATCCGTCTCCAACACGATCAAACGACCCCGTGTCCTCCTGTAGATACGCTCTATTTTCCACAGCAACATCCGACACCATACCACAAAACATCTCAGTCTCCCAGCACTTCTGCCCCAACTTGATACACCCAACCTTACGTGACAAATGTCCGCAAATGTTCTTTGCCGCCCAGTTCGTGCTCACTCTTGGTGTAGCTCTCAAGGATCTGGTCACACACTTGGTCTGCCGTCATGGCCGTCACTCCTTTATGATATTTAGCTTTCTCGAATGCCTGTAACAAGATCCCACAAAAATAGCACCATCAGAAACTACCACGACGACCGCTACTACTACCGTTTCTTGTGTCGCAGTTCCAGGAATAGAATACCTACTTTTTGAATAATTTTAAAACCACTCATGGTGCTGATCGTCGAGCGAATGGCACACAGGAAATAGATCCGCGCGTGGCCAATCTTGAGCGGCATCTTCGAACTGAGCTTGATCGTCTGGTTCTTGGCCACAAACTTGCCGTCGGCAAACATGCCGTTCTTGCCCAGACACTGCATCTCGAAACAACTCTCGCTCTGGTTCCACTGGATACGCGCATGCAGACGAGAAATAGCTTTTTGTTCCCCTAAAGCAATGCGGTGGTCCGGCACCGCCGAGAGGGGACCGCGGCCGAGCTCAGCTGGCAAGTGCGTCACGAGCTTTTCAAACGGCGTGTCATCCAGCACGCGGCCGCTGAGCTTGGCGTAGGCGAGCGGCGGCCGCTTCTCGACGAACTTCTTCTCGAGCGCCTTCTTGCGCTCCTCGAGGCCTCCAGTCTGCATGGTCATTTATTTGCCCAGCTTTGGCTGGCTGGACTTGAAAGCAGGGGAGATAGAGTTTTTTACCATATTTTAGAAGGACGGATTGGAGGAGGCGGAAAACTACTATTATTTGGTCACGCGTGAAAGAGTTCGAAGTGATCAGATGGACAGAGAGAGATCGGCTGGTAGACTTTTTGGCCTGTGGTACGCTCACGTTTGATCCATGTGTTTTCGGATTACACAGGGGTCGGACTGTCAAGTCAAGTGCATGTCCGTTCTCTTTTGTCGGCGTCTGTCGTTTTCTGCTGTTTGTATCGACGTTTACTTGCTTCGTTGAACTCGCTCCGCCCGCTGTTTTCGACTCGCTTTCTCTCGGGTTGTCGATTGGAATCGAGCGACTGGACTAAAGGCTCTCTCGCTCCAGCCTTTCCAGCCTCTAGGGTCTCACTGTTTCGGCACAAAAGCGAAAGACGAGAAGCCCCAGGACACTTGCGTGCTTGCAGTGCGTTGCTAACGAGGACTACTCGACATACCAAGTGGCTCGCTTAGGAAAGGTTAAAGCAGAGGCGGATGAACAAACGGACGCAGTTCCTACCGCTTGGACAACCGCACTAACGACAACAAAAACAACAAACTATCGTGGCGTTTGGTGCTGTTACTACTGACTGAAATATATCACCTGAACTGGTAGCTCGAAAGACTCGTCAAGTCCAGACGACACGCGCCACCACTGGCCTCCTCTGCCTTCTCCACCCAAAAGAAAGACGAGCGTGTCCACCCGAATGCGCGGAAACGTTACGAGTCCATTGTAGGGCAACAACGCGACAGCAAGGAAGTCGCAACATGTCACTTGTAGCAAGCTGAAAGCTGACCACATACCGATTAAAAGCGCTCCCCAAGAGCTCCGCACCTAACGCATGAGGGCAAAGTTGAGCATAGTAAAGGGACCACCATTAACGGCGTCCGTCGTTTCGAAGGCCACTGCAATTCGTTATCGACATTACTTCAGCCTCGGTGTGTGTTTTCGTTACGAAGATGCACCGTCCCTCTCTACGAAGTCCCTATAGGACCCGTGGAGGCTTCGCTGCCTGGAGCGTTGCCATAGACACAATGGCCACCGGCCTTTCTTGTGCTGGCTGGTTAACCGACAAGAAGGTCATGGCTGCAATGCATGACGCGCGTGGCGGAACATCACAACTTTATTTCACGTCTAACAGCGTAGTCCTCCACTCGAGTCCTTCTCGCATCAATTTGCTCTTGTTGCTGTTGTAATGGTGTCACTACGAGACGAATCTACCGTTTCCAACAGCTCAACGCAAAGGAACACCGACACAGGTGATAGTCCCCCAGTGATCGAAGCGCCACCTGCGTCACAATCGACAAGGAAGACAACTAAGCAGAGTGCCCCGTCAGACAAAGACGTAGACACGACAACAGCAACGACTGGATCATTGAAAACTACGGATGACACAGGTGCAACTGCAACAACTGGTACCAGCAGGGCAAGCGACTCGACCAACCTTTTCAAGGATACAGACCTTGACGGTATCTCCAGTGCAGTTGCTCCGGCGGCGCATAATGACCATAGTATGCTATCGGCGACAGCAATCACGACGGACAATGGCGTGGATAGCAGCGCGAGCACTGCCGTGACTGGAGACGCTGTGACAGGCACATCGACAGTGGGTACCGACAGACGTGCTAACACGAACGGGTCCGCCAATCGCTCTAGAAATACCCCTAACACAGTAGGAAGTTCTGCTGCGACGACCCGAGATTTACCAAGTCCAGCCAGTGCTCGGACGTCCCCCAGCACAGTTCTGACATCTTCGTCGGTCGTGCAACCACAACAGGGATCTTCTGTAGATACTGCAAATACAGAGAGCCGTACGTCGACAGATCTTCCAGTCAGCTCTCCATCATCTACTGGGACATTGACGAGCGGGAACACAGCAGCAGACACCACAAAAACGATCAAGTCGGCGAACAACCATTACAACTCTGGAACCACGACTGCAACACAAGGCACTGCCACTGCGTCCAGTGCTGGTAAGCATGCAACAAGTGCCAACGGTCTGACAACATTGCCAAGTGAGTCTACCGCGTCGGTCGGCAGTGACCAACCTAACAGTGGATTCACCAGCAGCTCGACCCCTTCACCAGTACAATCATCGGAAGGCTTTTCAAGCTTTACAAAGAGCGGAGCAAAAGCGATCTCGCCCTCTAGCTCACGTAGCTCCTCACGATCGTCGATTGCACTGAAACGCTGGTACGCTAGCATTTCGCGCGAGAATGAGACACAGCTCATCGTAGGCACGAACAGCTCAAGCCCAATCACAAGTGCATTCAACCAGGTGTGCAATGGTCAACCGGCACTGATTACGCAGTCAAGCGCAGAAACTCCGAATGGCGGTTGCCCGGACGAGCTGACGGCTCTAAATGCGTCTTGCACTTGCTTGACAGGGTATGACTCGACTACAACTTCTTGGGTCTTTAACGTCATGACCGAGACTTGGAACTCGACAACAACCGCGACGACGCGTTCATTGACGCAATCGGCGTCGGACAAGCTGGCAGTCCATACCATCCGTCCGATTTGGGTGCCCTCGAGCCTCGAGACGCTAACGATCGACGGTACTGGAGATTCGCCGGCTCAACTAACTTTCCTGGATGAAAGCAGCAGCTTGTCAAGTACTTCGCTGAATCTTGTGTGGTCGCAGAGCAGCAACTCCTCGAAACTCACCACACTCTCGCTCACGAACCTGGATCTGAATGCAATAGCTGCGACCAAGTCCGACTTTATCCCAGACACAGTGACGAATCTGACGTTGCGCAACTGCAACATCTCGACACTTCGTAGCAGCTTCACACACACGTGGAGCGGGCTTCAGTACCTCGATCTGTCCTTAAACAACCTCCGCAGGGACTCTTTCATCGGCGGGGCTGCTCTCAAGGAGCTCAACTTGTCACACAACGCACTCGCAGTATTCCCGGTAAAAGCGCTCAGTTTGAGCGCTTTGGAAGCGCTTTACATCCACGGCAATAACATCAAGAGCTTCAACGTGAACCAGGACGAGTTCAACCAAATTCAAGCACTTACAGCATTCACAGCAGACCAACCTGCATTAAAGTCGACATGTCAAGACGGAGCATGGCAGTCAGCACACGGCACAGATTTCTGCGTACTCAGTGCGTCCACAGCTGCGGTTCCCGATTCATCTCGAGCGGCGGGATCGACCAGCCAAGGTGATACCGAAGGGATCGGATCACTGGCTTATTGGCTGGTAGCGGGTGCTGTCGTCGTGTTTTTCGTGCTTCTGCTGGTGGTCCGGAAGCGACGTCGCTACAACCGCGAAAGGGATAGCGGTCCATTCGTGTCACCTATTGCCATCGAGCCAACGACACCGAAGTGCGACTTGAGCATCGCCTTTGACGATGCACTTAACCGTGACAGCATTTTTGAGGCTGCTGCTCCAGCACCTGTTGTCGGCGGTGGTGTGGCTAGTATTGCTGCACAGGTTTACCCCGGATATGGACGGTCGCACGGCAACAGCATCGATAGCAAGGACACCACTGCTATGGATGCGGCCCTTGCGAGCAACGAAGCTTTGGCCTTGTGTCGACTGGATTACAACGACTTACAGCTAGGTCGCTGCATAAGTCGTGGAGGTTTTGGTCTTGTCTTTGTGGGAAGCTACCGGGGGCGTCACGTAGCAGTGAAGAAGATCCGCAATGAACGCGATGTCGGCTGCAAACAAGTGGAACAGTTTGCACGGGAGATCTCACTGCTTTCTAGCCTGAGCCATCCTCGCATTGTAGAGTTCATTGGTGCTTGCTGGACGACACCAGCTGAGCTATCAGCTGTGTCCGAACTCATGGAGCGTGGGGACCTACGTGATGTCACTCGACGATTCAAGCGTCGTGGCTATCGTCTCACCTGGAGCACGTACAAGGTCAATATCGCCTTGCACATTGCTGAAGCTTTGACGTATCTACACGGGTTGACCCCGACAGTGATCCATCGTGATCTGAAAGCGAAGAACGTGATGCTGAATGCCGACATGGAAGCCAAGCTAAGTGACTTCGGAGTCGCTCGTAAACATAGTTCCAACGATGGCAGTGAGCCCATGACAGCGGGCATCGGCACGTCATTCTGGATCGCGCCCGAGGTGCTACTTGGTCATGACTACGACGAGCGAGCTGACATCTATTCGTTTGGTGTCGTGCTATCTGAAATCGACACGGAGGATTACCCGTACTGGAACGCAAAACACCCACCTCAGGGCAAGGCACAGGAGAACGACATTCTCCGTCAAGTAGCACGTGGTACCAAACGTCCGACTTTTGCCGATGACTGCCCACCTGCAATCTTGGACCTGGCTGCTCGTTGTCTCCGAACGGATCCTGCAAAGCGTCCGAGCGCCCTTGAAATCGTGCTATATCTGCAGCATCTTTTGCAATATCGCAACTCGAGCGCACCGTGTTCGTCGATGGTTCGCTCTTCGGATGGCACTAAGAGAAGTACAAGTGCAGTCCCCGCTCCAGACGATGCAATCATGAGTTCCGGCGACACGGATTTAGCAGCTCCGCAAAAGACGACAACACCTTTGACAGGCACGATGGTTGCTACTTCGAGCGATAATTTGTTCTGTGCAGCGAGTTCACGTCCACGAGGAGTAACGTACGAGATGATGCCACCTTCGCCCCAAGTGACTCACCGTATTCACACAGAAACTACTGTCAAGGGCGGAAGGAAACTGACAACGCAGCTTGATGCGCAGGCCAGTGCTAGCAGTATTCCTAACCATGTGACAACCGCTGTTTCGAGAGGAAGCAAAAGTGTCCGGTCAAGTCGAAATTGCATTGATGCGAACCCCACTGGTCTCCAAGCAAGCCATCAGGCGACACTGAATCACTTGGCAAGCAATGGTAGTGGAGCTCTTCAAGCGGAAAAGAGACCGTAGTTCGTCCACGGCAGAAGTATCGCGACGGACAATCTTGTTAGTGAATGTATTGTACAATTGGCTTATCGAAGTTGTCGTTTGCTTGAATGTCGACAAAGGCGGACCCCTGCCATCACACTCGATCCTTTGCAAGGTAAAAAGGGTCTCTACCATGTACGTCTTTGACTCACGTGAGCAGAATGTACTACACGTTATAACCAGAAGAGCGAGCGACTTCAGGTTATTCTTGTTCAGTGCTACAAGCGCATACGAACTTGTTGGCAATTTTCTTGGTAGCGAGAAACAGGTGCGTCTGGTCAGAGTTCAGTCACGTCGTCAGGCGCTGATCTACCTAATCTGCTTGAATGGGACGGATTTGTGGCACTACGCAAAACAGTATAGCGCAGCTACGGCGAGAGCAATCCTGACCTACAGCCTGTGCAACAAGAGCTTCACGAGTCCGCAAATGTGAACATGAAACGGCTTCAGCCACACGTCCCAGGTAAAGCCCTTTGACTGGCAGCTGATGAGGGGGCCAGAGAGTACTACGTGCAAGTATATGTGTGCGAGAGACGAGGTATAGGTAGCACGCGGAAGGAAGCGCTCTGCCAGGCGCGAGTAGAATCAAGTGTCGAGGATGGTCGCAAGTACTGCTTTGACATTGAGACAATCGTTACACTTCATTGTGTGGACTTGTTCAATGCATTCCTTGACTGACAACTCGTTCGTGTGAGCTGTGCGATTGCGTGATAGTTTGCTGATGTGGTGGTGGACTTTGCCTAACACGTCACGCCTTTAATCATCCATGCTTGACAAGACGAAAGATCGACAATCATGTGACTTGGTCGTTCGGGTGTGGTAAATAATCACATGATTATCAGCAGAACAAATTCTCAAGACACACGCACAGGGGACTGTGCTCGTGATCCACACCAACATTATACGGTAAACTGCCCGAGCGAGACACTGAGCGAAGCTGTAGAAATGTGTTACTTTACGAGAGAAAACTCATCGAGGAAATGCACACCGCACAACTAGCAGCGCAACGTATGATTTGACTTGTCGAGGGCGCTTGTCCCATACAAGCGCTCTCGAAAAGGGGAAATACTGATAGCGAAGCGATGCGGTACATCGACCAAGAGTTGTGGCTGTGTTCGGTGTTTTGGGGTCGGTAGTCAAACCGCCGCGGACACGAACGGGAGCGCGTTAGAGGATCGACCTGTTGCCAAAGTTCAAAGGAAAATACCCAGACTATGTTGAAGCACCGATCCACTACCAATACCGCGTGTCTGCTTAACTTTACATGTCAAAGTACGGTGCTGCGCGATCGTGCGGTCAAGGTGGCAATGAAACAGCACTTTTGTGAGACGATTCGTTTAGGTATCTCATTTAGTCTTGTAGCATGCACGATCCACGAACAGACGAACGCTGTCGTGAAGTATTCGTGAAAGTTCTCGACCCGCCGTAGTGTTTGCTTCGCGGCATCTGTTGATACTCTGGAGAGCAAAGCGATATGCTGCTGTCGTGCGAACTTATATAATACGATTAGCAATTCGTGTCAGCGCCCTTGATGCTCGTACGGGTCTTTCAAAACCATCGCCTTAGCGGTAATGTCCTAATTACTCCAAACCACTTCCTGACAATGAAGATTCATATCGTCCAACAAGTGCCGAGTCATGTCATCTGCATGTAAGCCAAACGAGATTGAGCGATAGAACTTTTGTACGAGCGCTTATTTCAAATTCGTCGAGAGCTGCTGCCCGTGGGGTCTGTGATTGACAAGTACTTGTTGATTCTGAACTTCGATAGCATGTCACCGTCATTGGCAGGCTCGTCTACGTAATCCAGCATATCATGAGGCCAGTTTGTCACAAATGCCTCTGAAGCTAGTATTGACCACACGCTATCACGAACGTAGCACGGCCAAAACTCCTGTGATTACAGCTAAATGCATACGTAGAACCTGTCTGAACCAAGTTCCTTGACGTTGTGGGCATGCACAAGTCAGCCGGGAAGAACTGTAAAATTTCGCTCGTGACGCAGGGAGACTTTGGATATACTACCAGTTTTGTCTGAATACACAACATTTTTTCGGCTTTTTTTTGCTTTGCCCATTCCAAACCGTGCCGGCTATCCATTCCGCCTAATCATTGTATTGTAAACAGGGGTTATGTAACGAAGTCTCACGAAATTATAGTACTTTGTACCAGAGGTGTTACACACCTGAGGGTACCCCTTTGTGAAGGTGGTATAGAATATCTTAATGGTTTGTAGGGGCTGACGAGTGTCAGCCATTAGGTACGAAGGATTTTTGAGTAGGATTAAGATATTCTATAGGCTTTAACAAAATAAAATCAGTTCCCATTTTGATCTAAGGGACACGTGGCTTGCGAGCCGTCTTGATCGTTGATCGCTGATCACTAAGAGTTAGCAACACCTCCTTGAGGTAGCTATTCTTGAGCACTGAGTGCTGTCGATTCACTGAATCGTTAGGTCACCTGGAACAGGGACCTGAAGCTGTAAAGCTTGTTGACTCGTAGAGTCGTTAGTTCTTTAGAACTAAGTTGCTCGTTGAGCGTTAAGTCGTCCTCTGACTTAAGAAGCTGAGTAGCTCCGCTACACTTGGTAGCACTTGTAGTCAATCTACGCGTGAGTCTATTTAGACTGATCCTCTGTGAGGATGGAAAACCCCACTCTCCTATCTGAGGCCCAAAAGGTCGCGCTTGATAAGCTGACCGCATCTTTGGGTCCAGAGTACGTGGAGTTCCTTGTTTCACAAGGTCCTGAGGTGCTAAATGCACGTGTTGAAAGCTTCAAGCAGTATGAAGCGACCCTTCTAGGGAAGGTCCAAGACCAAGTAGCGTCGGCTATGCCTACACGCTATGTGTCTGTACCAGACGAAGAGGCTAGGCCTCGTCTACTTAGAGTGGAAGTTAAGAACTACTCAGGTAAGGAGGGTGAAAACCTCATCCTCTGGATCCGTGAGATTGAGATGGCCATGAGATCAGGCCTGATCAAGCTTGACCATCAACAGGTCTCGCTGGATATCTCCAAGCTCGATGGAAGAGCTAGATGATGAACCTTGACGTGTAGCACGTCGATTGGCTTAGCGTTTCCTACATGGGAGTCGCTTAAGTCACAATTGGTACAGGTGTTCTCAACAGCTAACCAAGCTTACCGCGTGCGACAACGCTTCTTGTCTACCCGTCAGGGTAAAAATGAGTTATCGGACTATGTCCAAGAGTTGCGAACGCTCATGACTGCAATGCAGTCTGACCCTCTGCCCGAGACAGTTCATGTGACTATCTTCATGGAAGGTCTTCGTACTGGCATTGCCAGAACCGAAATGTTTCGGGTTCACCACTCTACGTTCGAAGAGGTCGTGCGAATTGCTCTTAATGCTGAGCACAGCTTCAATTCGGCCAGGCTTGGCTGGAATGGGTACAACCCTAGCTCTGCGAGAGCAAACTCTACAAGTGGTCCGGCCTTCAACAGGCCGTAACCGATGGATCTCAGCTATGCTGAAGATGAAGGTGAAGTTGAACTTCAAGCTGCTGAGCAGCTACGCGTCGTATGACGATGTTTTACGTGCGGAAGCACTAAACACTTGCGGCCTGGTTGCCCTTTGCGTAAGCAACGCCAGGCTACAAGCCAACACTCGACCCCGAGTCAGAAGTCTGGTATGGCACGGGGAAATGCCGACACATAGTAGGAGCGGGGCGCCCTACTGGGATGAACTGGATTCTGTTACACATTTAGGAGCTAAAGTTGAACAGAGCTTAGCCACAAAGGGCCTCTTACCTATTGGTATGGAGCGTGGATACAAGTCTGGCTTGTTGGTCGCCGAGGCGAAAATTAAGGGCTTTGAGAAGCCTTGGTCAATATTGATCGATTCTGGAGCGTCTTGCAATTATGCTCGACGCCGTTCCCTTGAGGGAAGTCAGCGTTATGCTGAGGCGCTTACAGTGCATGAGGTTAATTCTATCACGGTTCGTTTAGCGACTGGAAGTCGTGTTACTGAGCCTAAAGTTCCATTAAACTTAGATATACAGTTTTTAGACTTTGACAGCATTGAACGCTGTCTTGTCCTTGATTTGGACTCAAGATATGATCGCATCTTTGGAATGGCTTGGCTTGAACGCCATGATCCATGGATTGGTAGGAGGTATAAGACCTTGGGCTCCACGCGCAACGTCCCTAGCGAAGTTTTGGAGAGTCATAAACTCACCTTCGCTAGGCAACAGAAGCGCTATTGGCGCGAGCCTTTGACAGAAGATGTCAATGTGCTAAACATTGGAATGTTTGAGCTGTCTAACTCCAATTTGTAAACATAGATTCCGAGCGTAGCTCTTTGAATATTAGTGGTACGGCACGTACTCCGTTGAGTGTTACTCGTTGTGCTAACGAGTCACTGCATGCTAAAAGCTTGGTTGGGCTAGGGCCTGATTATCAAGGATGTGATTCCTTTGATGTGTGTGAGGTGGCACGTGAAAATTCACCGAGTGCGGTCGGCCGTGAAGGCACCACACCTAATGTCGATAATGACGTTGTTGGTGAAACGCCGTTCAGTTCAGGGCTAGGCCCGCGCAGTGTACGTGGATTGGCACGTGGAAATCTACTGGGTGAAGATTTGAGCTATGTAACACTTCACCGGATGTCGGTCAAGACATAAGCTCTCGTATAGAGCGAACTATGATTGGTAGTAACCATAGGGACAATATCGTCCCGACCCCTAAGAGGTGTAAGGTCTCCAAGAGACGACTTGGACGCCAGGTGGAAATTGTAAAGCGCTAGGGGTCCACACAGTCACTGAGTGATAATAGTAATACACTATATACGCTTTTTAACGGAGTGACTGGCCAGGTTGATGGCAATGTTAGCCTTGAAACCCTATCATCTTTAGATGCTCTGTGTGAGCTGGACATAATGTCTGATGGCGAGTTTAGCCAGGCCCTTAAAGGTAGGAGAGTTATCCGAATTAGTGGTCATTAGACCCGATGTTGAGTTGAACTCGTCCTCATCAATGGAGGAGTCTATTCTAGAAGGCACAAAGGCTGCACTTAGTGCACGAAGCGGGTCTTCAATCCTTAAAGATTCTTTGGACCCATTTTATCCTTTGGTTAAGGAATTTAAAGATGTAGTGTGTCACAATCCACCATCTATCTTACCACATGATAGAGGTGTACGTCATAAAATTGACTTAGCTCCAGGAACTAAATACTGCGTAACACGGCAGTGGCCTTTGCCTAAAGAACAGTGTGACGTCATTGACGATTTCTTTCGTGCTAAGCACGTGACTGAAATGGTTCGTGAGAGTAAATCTCCTCATTTAACATCGACATTCTGTGTCAAGAAGCCAAGTGGCAAGTGGCACATTGTGCATGCTTATAATAAGCTTAATGCAGCCACTATACCGTCGCAGACGCCTATTCCTAGAAAGGATGTTCTTTAGAACAATATAGCAGGGTGTACATTGTACAGCGCACCGGAATTAGTCGATGGTTAATGCCAACTGCTCATGCGAGCAAGTGATATTCCGCTAACAACCGTGAGTACTCCTAGCGGTATGCTCTGGGACTGGCTCGTTATGCCACAAGGTCTATCTAACGCCCCGGCTACGTTTAACCGGCAGGTAACGCAACTATTCAGACCTCCTCGGGGGTACGCACAAAAGTACTTTGATGACATTTTTGTCCATAGTCGTGCAATGAATGGGCGATCAGATGTGGATAACCACATTGATCGTTTACGAGCGGTGCTCGAGTGCATGCACATGAATAAATTGTACGCTAACGCGTCTAAGTGCATCTTTGTTGTAGAATAGATTCAAATTCTAGGGTGCTTCGTTGGGAAGCGAGGCCTTTGAGCGGACTCCGCTAAGGTAAAAGCCATAGTTGATTGGCCGGTTCCTAAGAACCAAAGGGACCTGCGCAAGTGGCTTGTCCTCGCCATTTACTTTCAAAAGTATAGTGCGAATTACGCAGACATGTCTCGGCCATTGTCCAATCTCCTGAAAAAGGGTGTGGATTGGTGTTGGGTTCATACCGAGCACGATGCTTTTGGAGCGCTTAAGGAGAGTCTCCTTCATGCGCCAATGTTGGCTTTGCCCGATCTTGATCGGCCCTTTCGTGTCGTCTGTGACGTATCTGACTTTGCCATTGGCAGTGCTCTGTTACAAACAGATGTTGATGGACGTGAGCGCTTCATTGCGTTTGAGTCTTGCTAGCTTAAAGCTGCTGAAAAGAACTATCCAGATCATGACGACGAACTACTTGCTATGAAGTATGCTCTGGTCAAATTCAGAGTACATCTGCTTGGCTCCAAGCCTTTTGTGATCTATACAGATCACGCATCATTACGCACTGCGATACAGTCGCCGCATCTCTGTCAGAGAATGGCTCGTTGGATTTCCTTCTTTGCCGAATGCAACTTCGAGGTGAAGTACAAGCCAGGTAAGCAAAACGCTTTGGCTGATGCGCTATCGCGTCGACCTGACTATGAGCTTGCTCATGTTACGACTCTGTCATCGTCAGTCAATGACCTAATCCGTGCGGCATGTGCCAAGGATGATCAGTGTGTAGCTTTGCTACGTCCTCTTGGGAGCGGTGAGTTTAAAGACTCGGACATAGAATTGTCGGCACGTATACGTGTGAGGCTACATCGATATTCCATCGATAATGTTCTGTTGTGCTATCGCATGGATATTGAGGATGCCCCTCGTATCGCTGTACCTCATGATGAGGAGTTGAAGTATCGAATCTTCTATGAGGCACATGATACTGCTTGAAGTGGTCATCTCGGTCGTGAGAAGACTTATAGCTCGGTGAGCCAAAGTTATTGGTGGCCCAAACTTTAGAAGTGGGTGAGCACCTATGTGCGTACGTGCGAAACGTGTCAACGGGTTAAACCCTCAGCACATGCGGCGGCGCCGCTGGCTAGTTTGCCAGTACCCACTGGTTGTTGGGAGTCCATGAGTATGGATTTTGTGTTTGGCCTACCGAAGATCAGGAAGGCAATACTGTTATTGTGGCTTTTTTGATCGATTAAGCAAGATGGCTCACTTAGCGGCTGTGCCGGATAGCATCGATGCTGAAGGTGCAGCAAGGCTGTTTATCGACCGTGTATTTCGCCAACATGGCTTGCCGGTGGCAATTATCTCTGATAGAGACCCTTGCTTCACTGGGAAGTTTTGGAAGTCTATCTTCAAGGTGCTTGGCACTCGGTTGGACATGTCCACAGAGGATCATCCGCAGACCGACGGTCAAACTGAGCGCGTAAACCGCGTCATCAACGAAATTTTGCGCAGTATTTGCGCTGATGCGCCTAGGCGTTGGAGCTCAATGCTCCTTGTTGTAGAGTTTGCGTTGAATAACGCTGTTCATGCCTCAACAGGCTTTACTCCGTTCTATATAAACGGTCTCACTACCCCTCGCGTTCCGTTAACGCTATCACTACGTGATTCAGGGCTTGGTGAGGGAGAGGTTGCCGATCGGCTTGCTGATATCAGACCTGCTACTGTTCAAAACAGGTAGGCGAGTTTCTCGCAACGCGATTAAATGTCTTAAGACATGTGCGTGACGCAATGGCTGATAGCCAAGATAACAAAAAAAACAACACGCTGATGCCAAAGGCAGAAAATGTATTGAACGTTATGAGGTCGGAGACCAAGTATTACTCAATGCTAAAAATCTACCTACAAATGTAGTGTCTGCTGTCTTTAAGACAAAGTTGCGTCCACGCTTCATTGGTCCGTTTACGGTCACTGCCAAGAAGGGCCTTACTTATACGCTCAACCTTCCACGCAAATACTGGGATCCTTCTCATGCGAACTTTGAGGCGCTGGCGCCGACGACGAGTGCGGTGCCCCGGATTGCTGCAAGCAAATCAGCAAGTCCAACTGAGCCTCGCTACGATTTTGAGCACGCTCCATCGCCTGAAGGCGGCTCTGCATCGCATCAAGCATACATTGGGTATTCTTCAGGGTCTCTTGAAGACCCTATACTTCGAGAAACAATTTCATGTGGAATGCCACCACTGGTACACCGGCCACCACCGACGCTGCTCGATGATCATGGGTATTGCCAATTTTATGTCGAAAGACTACTGAAACGACGTCGTCTTCATGGCCACTACCAGTATCTGGTAAAGTGACGTGGGTACCCTGAGTCTGAGAACTCATGGGAATACGAGGTACCCCAACGGCAGGATTGCCGTTATGCTTTGGACTTCTTTGAACATCTTGGCCAAGGTCATCTTGAGACCGAGGCCGTTTCCCACCACTAGTGGTGTGGGTTGGCGGGTTGGTGGTCATCGATTGACCAACACTCGCGGCTACCGTAGTAGCTGAAGCATATCGCGTGGGATTACACAATTGGCCTATGGAATTAAGCTTGGCATTGTCATACCGAATCTTGCGTTCGAGACGCACATCAGCCACATTGGCACTAGCGCTTAGAGCCTACATACAGCGGAGGAGACGTATGCGGTGTACCCAGCGGACGAAGGCATTGTCTTCTTTGCTCTCTGTTTCGCCTGCAAACAAGAGATGGGTATACCCTTGATCGGTGGAACCGGTGCACCACGTGCTTGCATGTCAAAGCGTGCCTTGTATTGACCTTGGGTCGTTAGGTGAGACTTCAGGTACCTCTCGCAAAGTGCCTGTCCGCTCGCCACCTTTTCAGGAGACTTAGGCCTATGGCTAATGATCCAAGTTGCCAACGATTGGCCGGCCGCTTGACGTCAGCGTTCCTCCACACTGTGTGAAGTGAACGCATAGTCACGTTGGGGCTCGAGTGTTGCGACCATTTGCGCATGGCGTTGAGTGCTTTCTCCTTGTTGAAGGATTATTTGTTGTTGCTCATCGAGCGGTTTCGTGATGATGGTAATATCCGAATCGAGTGTTGAGCACCTCGCCAATGGCGAATTCTCATTATCAAGTTCAGGGAACGGACAGGGGGCAGTACGAAGTTGTACCTCAGACATGGTTTTATCGGACATTGTTTCTATATCACCCGGAACGCTGTTATTGCTACCATAGTCCAAAACCTCCCCCATTTCGAGGTAAATCCTGAGAGTCTTTGACTCGTTAGTTGATGAGGACATCGTTCTAAGCTTTACGTTACCGTGAGGTGAACCGCAAGTGCACTGACCTCGTGGAAGAACAAATTCCTATGGGAAAGTTCAATTGGAACAAGGTTCGATTGACGTTTAGGTAAACGTAGGGGGATGGTGTAAAGGGGTCACACGTAGTTGAGTACTCGGTACCCTGTGTCTTAGACACACGGATGACATCCCACTGAAAGAGATATAGAATATCTTATCGGTTTATAGAGGCTGGCTGGTGTCAGCCACCAGGTAGGATAGATCTTAGCTGTACTACCTTAGGACGTAAGTGTATAGATTAGGATTAAGATATTCTGTAGGTGTAAATGTGAATTTATTTCAGCTCCCCTTTGATCTTTAAGACACGTGCCTTGCGAGGCGCCTTTGGTCGTTGATCGCTGATCACTAAGAGTTAGCAACACCTCCCTGAGGTAGCTAGTTACTATTGAGCACTACGTGCTATCAATTCATTAAATAGTTTGGTCACTGGAACAAGAGCCATAATTTATGCGCTTGTTGGCTCATTGAGTCTAGTTCTTTAGAACCAAGTTGCTCGTTGAGCGCAAGTCTTCCTCTGACTTAAGGACCTGTGTAGCTCCGCTACAGTATCGATATCGCTTATTTCGCGTAGCGCACTGCTCCGTTGATATCATAGTCCAGGTATATTAATATGATGGTGGTCATGACCGGCTTTGTGCAATGAAAACGTCGACTTACACTTCGTCGGTAGGTGCATTCAAGCCCGACCCGGGGACCGAAGCAACCGCAATATTGTAGTGCTACGGTCTTGCAAGGTCATGGGCCGCTCCTGACATTGTCTGTATCTTGAAGTCCATACTCCCTCGGTGCATCAGCGAAAAACGCGCATAGTTTCACGCAAATTGCTGCATAGGATGCGAACGGCGAAGCCTTGGATAATGGCGTACTTTCTTGGCGGTGTCAGCGATTTCCTTTTGACTACCCAAGGTGTAACATGGTAGCCCGTTACACGAAATTGACACCAAACGGTGTCAATTGGAATATTGTCTAGTATGACAATATTCTACCGATATTATCCGGAATGGAAATATTAAAGGAATATTATGCCCTTTTGGATAATGTTCATTCGCTGCTCCAAGATTGGTTGATATAAGACAAATCAACCATAGATTGCCACTAATCGCCGCTAAACGCGCGCAATCAGTGGTGAGAAGGTTGTCGTCATACGACGGTGTAGTTTACTATAGTTAGATAAAGATCAAAGTTATATTGATAGCTTAACTATGTTAATTACAGTTCTCTTTGTACCCTTTCGATAAACGATCTCTTTGATTAGTGTTACTTCCTCTGCACGTACTAGTGTACGCGATGTTTCGCGGCACCCCAAACAAAGGGTGCCCCGTTACAATTGGTAGTACTTTCTAGTCCGTCCAACGACTGCTTAGTGTCCGTCCAACATGTACATGTTGGACGTAGAAGACGACAGCTTTCACGTCACACGAGAAGGCTACTCCCATCTGAGTGACTCAGAATGGGAGGTAGTCGGCCGAATGAGTGTGCTCATGGGCGAACTAGCCATCAGTGGCATGTTGAAGTCTCTAAGCAGAGACCAGCAACATGCTGCTATCAACAAGTCCCAACCAGGGAAACTTGCCGTCGAACGACAGAAGTTAGCCTTGCTACAACAGCAAGGCTCTCATCATTCGATGGGCGGACCGACGCACATGCGTCAATCCGAAGCCTTAAAGATCGATATCTCAAGGTACAAAGGAACCGATGAAGATTCCTTTTTGAGATGGTTCGTCGAGTTAGACGATGCCATCAGAGCCCGTCACATCGAGGGTGACGAGATACAAGTCACCTCGGCCTTGTCAAATCTGAAAGGTTGAGCAAAGACTTGGCCTTAGGGCTCAAGTATCACGACACCAATGCGTTTGAGTCGCTAAAAGCTTGAAGTCTCGGCTCAAAGAGACGTTTGAGCCGCCGAGAGCCGAGTACAGAGCACGCTCTGCACTCTTGAGGCAAAAGCAAGGTAAGCGTGACGTGCAAGATTACGCACAACGCCTACGCTACCCTGCGAATAGCTACATGGAATACCCTGTTGATGAGCACACGCTCATTAATGTGTTCATCTAAGGCCTTGTAGATGTACCGGTAAAGACCTACATGTTCCGAGAGGACTTCCAAATGCTGAAAAAGGCGATAGCGTATGCTAAACAAGAAGACTTCAGCCTGAGCCAGTCTCAGGCTAGCTCGTCAAACTATCGTCCAACGAGACGACAGGTATCAGGAGGTCCCGAACTAACGAAACTTTATTACATCGAGAGCAAGAACTCTCGCCCTCTGAGTCACAAGCGAAAGGCAAGACGTCATCGCTGTCAGAAGATTGGACACTACGCTCATGAGTGTAGTGTCCCGAGCACTGCAATACGTCCGAAAACAGGACGTGATGACCACCATTGGCCGAGGAAAGATCCGAGGCGTGGGTACGACCATGTCGCTAAGCCGCGACAGCAAGTCGGACCGTCAAAAAAATCGAGGTCAGTAGGGGCGGAGCACCCTGCTGATCCGGCAACGTCAAGAGAGTTTGCAGGACTACTGACGAAGATTGCTCCCAACACACAGTCGCTGTGTGCTACTGCGCCTAGTGATGAGGTTTCCCTCATCACTTTTAAGATCGAAATGACAAGTGGAATGTCACTTCGCGCCCTAGTTGACTAAGGGGAGTCGAACATCTTTATTCGACGCCAGTCTCTAGAAGATAGCAGGCCCAACTATAGTGAGCGATAGTTCCCTCCAACGAGTATGACGGTGTGCCTTGCTGCAGGCGCATTCGTAATAGTGAACAAACGTGTAGTGGTAATCCACTTCACGCTATAAGGAAAGCACTGCGATGATGACTTCATCGTACTGGATTTGGATGACATGTTTGATGTCTTCTCGGTCTGCCATGGCTCAGAAAATACCAGCCATGGGTCAGCTGGCAGCATCGATCCGTGAAGATGCCTGCGGTTTGCTCATCAGATGGCCATCTGATGAACGTCTTGGAGCGTCCACAAGCGTGCGGATGTGCTTCAAGTGAGTGCGATGGCCTCACTTGTGGTACGGTCGTTAGCATTACCGCACAAGATCACAGTGTGGAAGGTCGCTACACTGTGGAACCAGCTTCCGGCACCTGTGTAGAGACATAGGCTGTGTCGAAGGTTCACCACTCGAAGAGATCGAGTGGACTGGAACACGGATGCACACCAAGAAGGGTGCATCCGAGAAAAGAGATTATTGTTGTTCAGGATGAACAACACGTTAAAGCTCGACTATCAGAGCGTCGATCGTAGAGCAAGCCCGATCGACTGAAAGAGAGTCGATTGAAGAGGACGTGACCGCGGTAGTACACCCACAGTCGGTACACGCATTGGAAGAAAGTTACAGCGTTCCTATGAGTGATAACTCCCGAGAGAGTTATGTTGAAGGTGTGGATCCCCAACCACCTGCGGATGTGTTTTCCCTGGAAATCACCGAGACAGTGAATGTCTTGGTAAATGACGGATCAAGTGTAGGCGCCTATACACTTGATCTGGTGACGCACCCAAATTCAGCTTCGGAGGTAATCAAGTTGCAAGCGCTAGAATCTAAAAGATTCTTGCAAGATCTGCACAGTGTCAAGATCAAGCAGATCCGCGCACTCGTCACAGAGGACGAGAACGTCGCCGACATTCGGTCGGCACAAGTGTTTAATGAGAAACAACAGGCCCTTTAGTTGCTCATCGATGGATGATAGTGTACTCGATGAAAAGACACGGATTGAGCGATAAATGTCTCAATCTTGGTGGATTTTGAAAACAATTCCTTCATATAAGTATTTGGTTAAATTCAAGGATGTATTCCCTGAAACTGTTCCTTGAGAGCTGCGTAAGGATAAAGGCACTAGGCATGAGATCGAACTGGAAACCCGGTTCGAAATACTGTGTCATGAAGCAGTGACCACTGCCTCGTGAACAAGTACTTGCGATTGACAAGATCTTTGCCGATCGTTCAGCAGCGGGCCATGTGAGTGAATCAACATCTCCACACAGCTCTCCGACCTTCTGTGTGCGAAAAGCCACAGGAGGGTGGCGGATAGTGTACGCGTTTAACAAATTGAACGCTGAAACGGTACCGGCTCAAACACTGATAACGAGGAATGACGTCATCATAGATGGTTTGGCAAAAGTACCATCTTTTCGTCCATGGATCTAATGAAAGGATTTTATCAGATCCTCACGCGTGAACGGGATATACCGTATACGCTAGTGAGCACCCAGTGGTATGCTCTGGGGAGTGGCTAGTGATGTCACAGGGGCTAAGTAACGCCCCTGCGATGTTCAACAGATGTGTTACGAATCTGTTGCGATCGGTGCGTGATTTCGCACCGAGTTACTTCGACGATGCCTTCGTCCATAGCCGGGCTATGGATGGAAAGACGGACGTGGAGGTTCATAGAATTTACGTCCGGAAGGTTCTTACATTAATGCGAGAGCGTAAGTTGTTCGCGAACCTCAAGAGTAATATATGCAGCGTACGAAACACCACTTCTTGGCTGCATCGTGAGTAAAAACGGCTCAAGCCCTGATCCAGAACAGATCAAGGCGACTAGAGACTGGCCTATGCCAGTCGGTGTCAAGGGAGTTTGAAAGTTCCTTGGCTAGCGGCGTACTTGCACAAGTGCTCGCGCAGCTACGCCGGGGTGACCCTACATATCTCTCGTCTTTTAAAGAAAAATGAGAGGTGGTCATGGAGCGCTGAGTGTCAGCACTCCTTTGAAGGTATCAAGAAAAGCTTGATAGAATTGCCTGTGTTGGCGATTGCAGACTAGGACAGAACATTTCATGTGGTCTGTGACGCCAGCAATTTTACAATCGGCTGCGCGTTGATGCAGCACGACTCAGATGGCGTTGAGCGCGTCGTCAGTTATCTATCTCGTCAGCTGCAAGCAGCTGAGCGTAATTACCCGGTGCATGACAAGGAACTCCTTGACATGAAATATGCACTGGCTAAGTTTCGGGTAGATCTCTTAGGAGATGGGACCTTCATCGTTTATACCGACCATGCGTCGTCACGCACGGCCGTAAACAGTCCACACCTCTTGCAACGACTGGCGAGGTGGCTGTCTTTCTTCGCGGAGTACAACTTCTTCGTCGAGTACAAACCAGGACGACTTAATGTCGTCGCTGATGCTCGTTCGCGTCGGCCCGATTTGGAGCCGACTTCTCAACACAACAGTAGGGGTGATCCCACTGTTGCAATAGTATCAGTGAGTGTTCCGTCGTCAAATAGGCTCGACAACGTGCGAAAAGCATACGCAGAAGATGAGTCTCTTCTGCGATCGATGGATTACGTATCCAATCCGTGTAATCGAGCTTTGAAAGGTTGACGTCTCAATACCACTCTTCAACCGAACGGTATTCTGTTCGTGATAGACTGCTGTACTATACAGCAGTCAAAGGCGACACACCTCGTGTCGTTGTTCCGGCTCATAATGATTTGCGATTGCGCATCATGAATGAGTGTCACGATGCCCCAACAAGTGTGCATCGCGGTAGAGAAAAGAATTACCTCATGGTGAGTCGTGACTTCTACTGGCCCCGTCAGTATGAGTTTGTGCGGAAGCACATTCGCGCTTGCAAAGTTTGTCAACGGGTGAAGCCTAGTTCTTCATCCCGCGCACCCTTACAGCCACTTCCGATTCCGGCAGAGTGTTGGCAGTCCGTATCGATGGACTTCGACTTTAGGTTTCCCAAAGACGTTCACAAGAATACTGGTATTCTTGTGTTTGTTGATCAGTTCAGCAAGATGGTACATCTTGTTGCTGTACCGGATTCAATCACAGCCCAGGGCTGTGCGCGTGTCTTCATCGATACTATCTTCCGACATCACGGGTTAACCTGTGAACTCGTGTCCGATAGGGACCCCCGCTTCACAGCGGAGTTCTGGCAATCCATGTTCCGATCACTTGGAACACGTTTGACGATGTCAACTTCTGACCATCCAGAAACAGATGGTCAGACGGAACGCGTCAACCGCGTCCTCGGAGATATACTTCGAGGGTATGTCCACTCATTTACGAGTCGGAGTGAGTTCTTGCCGATGGAGGAATTTGATATCAACAACTCTATGCATGCATCGACAACGCATACCCCGTTCTTCGTGAATGGCCTACGCCATCCACGTTTACCCGCCTTCTTGAAGTGTGACTCTATTTTAAGGGGGGGGGTGGACTCGCTCGAATAAAAGCCGATCTGGTTCTTGCTCGTCGCACGTCGACAATGGTGTCGACTTGATGGATGCCGATGTCGATGCGGTTGATATTGATGATGACGATGACGACGATGCTGGCATATTCAGCATCGCCAATGACTGCCACAGTGAGGAAGATGACGCCCTCACTGATGAAGACAAACTTCTTTCAGCAGTGCACACGAAGCGCACTGCTGTTGACAAGGATGAATCAGCAGAAGAGTTTCTGCTGACTCGCGAAGCGGTTGTCCACTTAGCTCAAGAAATCCATTGCAGATGCACTAGACAGACAAAAAAGAAACGCAGACAAACATGGAAGAGCAAATGTTCTTTCATTTGATATAGGGGACCTATTTTTATTGTCTACAGTAAACTTACCGAAGCACGCAGTGACAACGTGGGCAGCAGTAAATTACTGCCCAGGTATATTAATACATTTCGTGTATTGCGCCGCACGGGCAACGCATACACGATTGAACTGCCCCGTAAGATGCGCACGCATCCTACGTCTTACGTTGGTCGTCTCCGCCCGTACTATCAGTAAGAGCCCGTTTCGAGATGCGAAGAACACCTCCGCGGTCGAGAGCCGAGACCACCTTCGAGTGGTCCCGTTTCAACGAGCCAGTCTGGTTGACTAGCGAAGCGACCTGTTCACGCAGCTCAGAGATGTCTCGACGAGCAGCAGCCAGCTCATCACGAAGAGAACGAGTCGAACGTTCGTTCTCAAGTTGCGCGAACGCAAAAGCGGCACGATCGTCCGAACGATCGTGCGCTAAGGAATTGTAAAAATTCTTTACAAGATCCATAAGCCCATAACGCCGAGATCGTTCATGAGCCAGGTCATCTTGCAGCTGTTCCGTTACACGGTTCAGCTCTTGAACATCAAGCTGATACGACCCTCGAGCCGGATCAGGTGTTCCCACCGTCACCACATCCTTTGGTGGACTCAAGCGATGGTCAACGCTTACTAGTGGAGCGTTTTTTGAACCACCGCGATGTAAATGGCGTCCGGACGAGTTACCTCGTCCGCTGGCGTGGCTATCCACCAGCGTGGGACAGCTGGGAGCCTCGTACCCAGCTGATTGTTGATGTCCTTGGTCTCGTCGAGCAGTACGACGAGACACACCCGCTGCGTTTAAAGAAGGGCCTTCGGAAAACGACCTCCCCGAACGCGAGTACAGGGATTGCAAAGTGTCGAACCCTTCGGCCATCTCGGAAGAGATGCGCGCCCTCCAGTAGGGATCATCAGGGAGGTAGGCCTCCTTAGGGGCACGGTTCGAGCTTACCAGGCAACCTGGACACGAATCACACCACGATAGACAGGGAAATCCTGCCTCTATTGAAAGCCGGTGCAACTTGTACCGCGTTCCGACGAAATTGCGTTTCTTAAACCTAATGCGAGCTGCATCAAGTTTGGCGAGCCAAGCCTCACGGCCAATACACTCGATGTTGTGGATGAGGGCATTCCATCCCTGCACCAAGGCTTTGCCATCTCGTACACGGCTACCATTGTACTACCGATGTTTGAAGAACGCATCGGTGAATAACTCTTCCTCAGCACGGACAGTTTCCGTGCTGGAGTCAGGTGGGCAAATCTTTTTGCAACAGAACAACGTTATGCGATCCCTTTCGGTAGCATGCCGGCCAACCGGTCCAACTCTCTGGATGGCGGCATCCGCGGAGACTCCACTTGAGGAGCGTGGCGCAGGACATTTCGGTCCCTGGCCTCTTGAGTGGTGTCAGCATGAACACTGACACCAGTGTTACCCCGATCCCTTGAGTTGCTTCGCTCGTGGTGATGCATAGGTGCATCACCACCATCTCCACACTCCTGTCGTTGGATGGACTTGCGTGGGGCGTAGACTCATCGGAGTAATCACTCGATCCGAAGATCTCGGTCATGATGCTGCCGCGCTGACCACAGCCAGTCAGCCTGGCTTTTGCAGCGTCCGCCCCGGGTGATCCCGAGGCGTGAGGAGTTGCCTTCGAGTCGGATGGTGCATCCGACTCGCCAGAATAGATGAGCTCTATCTCAAACTCGTCTGGATTACGATTCGAGGTACCCGCTGCAGACGCAACGGATGCACCTGTCGCACGTGGTGACTCACCACGTGGACTGTTCACAGCAGCAGGCGACGAATCACCTGCTGCTGAGGCGTGAGAGGCACTTTCCGCGGCCACATGCATGCGTGCAGCCGCTCTTCTTGCTGCTGCAGTAGCAGCTCGCGTGGTTTTGGAAACCATGCGTTGGATTGGCAAATGAATGGAATTTGACCAACAAGTGCTCCCTTTCCCAGGGTGATTCAACGGTGGTCACCCTGTCCCAATGAGTTAAATTCAATCAGCGGGTGATTGATGGCTAAGGGGGGGTGATGTAACGGGGTAGCCTGTTACATGATGTGACACCAAACGGTGTCAATTGGAATATTGTCTAGTATGACAATATTCTACCGATATTATCCGGAATGGAAAATTTTAAAGGAA